TGTTTGGCGCAAAAATATAGTGTGTGTGTGTGTATATATATATATATATATATATATATATATATATATATATATAGTCTGAAAGTTTTTTTTGTTTGAAGGTTCAGTAAACATTTCCATAAATTTATTTTCATACTATTATTTCATATGTCAGGCTTTACATGGAATGCATGAACTCAATAAGTGTGTACTTCAAATGCTAAAAAGTGTAATTGGTTAAAAGTGTTTCAGTGCATGCACAGTATGCATTCATTCCCATGTAGCTCTGCTCTGCATCACACTTGTTGTTGTTTGAAAATTTAACATGCAGAGGTGGCTGTGTGACCTCCTCCTCTGGAGGCGAATGTTTGAAGAGTGTGTGTAAATGCAGTTTGGTGACTCCCTACATTCCTGAAATGCTCATTCTTCATGTTGCTGTCATACACTCTAGGAACATATTAGATTACTAACTGTTCCCACACTCTTCATCTTGCATGCAATCTAAAGAATGTTTGCAAACTCTACTAAGAACTAATAAAGATCATAAAGGAACCCAGATCACAGCAGAGAACACCATGGAGACGTGGGCTTGCGGGTTTGAACGTGCTCTAACATGTTGCACGTGGCGATTATGTACCGAGTGACCCAAGTTTGATCTCTTTTTCTCACTAGTATGCTTTCATGTTGCCTTTTAGATGTCTTCTAAATTCGAAGTTTCAAAAACCTACAGAATTAAATCCCCCAAAAATCCGACACCAGGGATTCTCAAACGTTTTTGTCAGTTAAACGAACCCCTTTGACCTAAAATACTTACTTGAAGAATTCCCTGAGATTAATATTTCAATAATTTAACACGTTTGCATGTTCCTGGTCCTCTGATATCAGTTAACGGTCACATGATGTGCAGGTTAACAAATAGCTTTTCTATTAAAGGTGCAATATGTAAGATTTTTTTATTAGAATATCCAAAAACCACTAGAACAGTGTTATATATGTAACGAATCAGCTCATGACAGGAAATATGAATAATTAACCATAACTAGTTATGATTAATTATGAATATTTTAGATCCGCTGTAGATATTTAGCTGACCTCTCAGGGTCAACTGTCTTGTCAATTCTAAGAACGTTAATTTCCTGGTTAAGGGAAATAACTTTCTTACTGTACAATTCTACAAAAGTTTGTAGCGTAAATCTGCATGATTAGTGACTCCGGTTATGAGCAAACAATGAACACGTCAAGTGTGATACAAGTAAGGTTTTATTAACTACATAAACACTTAAACTAGTCTAACATACTACATAAACTGGTCTAACATCCTACATACACACATTGTAGAAAACATGGAAACACCAAAGATGCTTTAATATGTTGTGAGTTTTATTAGACAGGTGACGACCGCACAGAGTAGCATTATAACAGAACTTTCAAACGTATCTAGTATGATAAAACGGCGCTGCTTTACCCCACATACACACGACCGGAAGGAGCGGAAGCGCTAAAGTAGGGGTGCTCCGATCAGGATTTTTTAGGCCGACCACAGAAAGCAGTATCTGCCGATATCGATCTTTTAAAGCCTTCTTTTTATCATTTATAACTATTTATAGTGATACTCCAATGAAATATCGGAAATGTGTTTAAAAATCATATCACCGTTATTGAAAAGAATTATATCGCGATACATATTGATATTGAATTATTGTCCAGCCCTAAGTGTGCATGAGTGCACGGTCTCCAGGAGAGCGCGCGAGCACTGAATGGTTAAACGCTGGCAAGAATTACAAAGTAATGAAATGTATAAACTTTAGTGACGATGTGACACTGTGCAAGTGACAATTCCTGTGTCAACTGTGCAGCTTGCAGCTCACTTATAGACAAACGCAATGTGTGGTGATTTGAAGCCATTTGCGTATTTTGAGAGAGAAAGCGAGAGCGCGCACGCGGTGATTCTCTCACGAAGTTTGTGAAATTACGTCTCTCACAAGGTTTTCAAATTACTTTATAAGTTATTTAATGAAGAAATATGAAGGTGAGTAGGCTTCCTCACCTTCAGCATTATAATTATTTCACCCGCGCCGAACAGAGACTGACTGTGCCGCTGTGCCAAACCTCTCACGGCAGCGTCATCAGCTTGAGATCGGCCTTTTTAGAGACCGCTGATCAATCATTCCAACGTGATTATCGGCCGATAGTGATCAGTTGCCGATCAATCGGAGCACCCTAAAGTGTGGCATAATAAAAGCGCCGCTGCTTTCGAGCCGTGTGTAGCAATTGCTTCAGCAGGCCTAATTTCACTTCGACGGCTTTCCGCCTCACTCTGCTTCATACTACGATGTTAATAAATCTTTAATACATTAGCTCACCCATGAACATGATTTCTGCCCTAGTCCCATCGGATTGCGTCAGCTGTGGGGATGAAGACCACAACTCCCATGATTCCACACTCAGTCATGGTGTCATCAAACTACGCCTTTGTTTCTTTGTTTGTTTTGAATACGCGCCCTCTAGCGGCAAAAATTACATATTGTACCTTTTAAGGGATTTTACTTTATTTTATTTATTAAGCTATTTAATTAAAAATTATTTTTAATTGTCAGACCCCAGTTTAGCCAACCCAATGAATTAGTGTCATGTTATGTGTGAAATATAACATTAATTAAGACCTAAATAGTAAGTGCGGTTGTGTGTTTGTTGGCTGCCTGCAGGTGAGAAGCCATACAGGTGTTCGTGGGATGGCTGTGAGTGGTGCTTTGCTCGAAGTGATGAACTGACCAGGCACTTCAGAAAACACACCGGAGCCAAACCCTTCAAATGCAGCCACTGCGACAGGTGAGTGTGTGTATTATCAGACACAGTGTTTCCAACAGATTTTGAGCTATACATAATCGTTTTTGTTTTATTTTCAGGTGTTTCTCTCGTTCTGATCATCTGGCCTTGCACATGAAGCGACACATCTGAACGCAAATCCCAAAGACCTGCCACAGCTGGTTTTCTATGTATTCGCTGAGTCAGTGTTGCAGATTTTGCACCTTCTTGCTAAAGATATAGTTTCAGCAGAACATGGGTAATAGCATTTTTTTATCCTATGCTGGTGACATTTGACTTGTTCAACTCAAGTTAAAGCATAGCTATAAAGGCACTGAAAAGGCAGAAAGTCTGGTACTGAATGTAAGTTAACATATTTGCAGACTTTGCAAATTGCAGTGAATATGTATGTCAAAATCAAAAATAATATTTCGCTAATTAACACTTTCCATTAACACGGAAAACTGCTTTACTGCGCAGCTAATGTGTTTATATCCAGAGCAGCTAAGTGTCCATGTAGCTTTGAGATAAGTGTTTATTGCTGTTTATTACACTCGCAGATAAAAAATAAAAAAAACTTTCATAAACGTACTAATATGTAGCATTTAGGAGTGAATAAGGTACAAATGACCTGCTTTATCCAGCTGATATTACTTGTACTTTTAACCAATAAATTTAACATTAGTGCCTTAAAATGGTTCTCTTAAAGTCAATTATGAGCTATTCATCAACAATCACTTTGGCCAATTAAAGTTCAGGTTTGACTTAGAAGCGTTTGATGAAACTGGAAGATCTGTTGATCAAATACTGTATTTTTTTCAGAAGGACTGGAATGACTGAATTGTGTAATTGAATGATTGTTACCTAAAGAGAGGAGCTGGATTTGCTAATGTGTAGTATGCTATCATTTTATGATTTAGAAAAATGCATCAGGATATTTCTTTAAATGCATCAGGACTGGTTTTCCGAGCACAGACTGACATCATGTTGGCTCAGATGAAGCTCTAGCATTTGTTGTCCAGATGTTTAAAGCCCTGCAGATGTTACAGAGACGAGGATGTTCACTCAGGGGTGGATAATATGAAAGCTGTTAATGTCTAACTGGAATTTGCAGTATCTTTAGGGGGATTTTAAAATGCACTCCAATATTATCACTTTACAAAGATTTCTTTAAGGTTGTGAAGTGTACAATATCACATACATTTGTTTCATGCCAAAAAAAAAATTACATTTATGTTGAATTTAACCTGTACACCACGATCATTTTTAACTGTTCAAATCTTTTTGTGGGACTGATGTAAATGTTTTATTTGACTTTTGTTTTTAGTTAAAAAGGGTACTTTTTGCTTGTGTTTTTATTATTTTCTTTGTTAAAAGCAGATTTCTATGTAAAGCAACAATATATTGTAAGATTTTTATTATTTTTGTGAATACATTTTATACCACAATAATAATGAATGATTTTTATAAAACTCTGTTAATGTGGTTTTTTTTTTATTATACAGTGTGCGAAACATTACACATTAGAGATTAAAGTGGGATCCTGTATCAGGAAAAAAGACTGTGTAAGCTGTAAACAGACTCTTCTGGAACATTGTGTGGACAAAAATATGGTGCACTGTGTTCAATGTTACAACAAATGTTCAGTGCTTCAAGTTCATGGCATTGTTTTATAGACTTTTCCCTCTACATGAACTAAAAACAGACATCAGTGAGATGAATGACATGTTCTACGGACCCACCCTCTCACACAAAAACACTGGGAAAGAAACTTTAAACAAACCCACTTAAATAGGACTGTCACTGTCAGTAGATTTCAGTTCTAGAAAGAACAAATAATGTGTTATAAGTCATACAGTAAGCTATCAAATAAACATTCTAATTTATTAATTTGCAGAAAGTGGTAAGTTCATCACAAATCTGCAATAATGGAATAATATAAAAACATAGCACATGCACATTGTCTTCCATATGTGATACATAAACTGGGTTACACTTTAGATTTGGAAACATTATTCACTAATAACTCTTAGGGAATATGTGTTCCCTAATCTGTTACCATAAATGGTCATTTTTAGATTCAAAATTATTAATGATCAGATAATGCTACATGCATCACAAATCCGCCCTAATAAAATAATATAAAAACATTTGACATATTAAATGGACTGTCTTCCAACATGTAATAAAGATGTTAAAAATATATATTATTTTACAGTGGTAACAATGACTGTATGGAATATGGGAATAATCCACGGTAAGGTAATTCTTGATAAGGACAAACTCCCTCCAGAATATATATATATTTTATGTATATAAGTTTATTTAGGCGCTTCCATTTCTAACTACTTGACCCTTGTGTTTATTTAGTGAGCTCTGTTTCTACTGACACCTGCCGGTCATTATAAAAAGTGTTCGGTGAAGTGGTCAAATATTATTATTATTTTTTTTTTTTAACTGGCTCCTGCATTTCTTTATCCTTTGTTTTACAAGTATGTATTTTTTTCCCATACAATATTTTTATAGGATCAAATTTATTTTAAGTGGACATACTTGTATTATGTACAAGCAGTGGCTCGGTATTAATCAATCAACTACGCTCTTCTTATCGTGCAGCCAATGAAAAGCATCGTTGTTTGCTGTTGCGGTCGCGTCTAGTGCGCATGCGCCGTTTACAGCATGCTGGGGCATGGAAGGGCAGAGCTTTAATCATAACGGAAACATGAATCCAGCAACACACATTTAATGTGTTTTAACTTTTAAATTGGTACGGCAGTCACAGTAATTATTAGAGACAGGAGATTTAAGCATCTAGAAATGTTTCGTCACAGCAAGGGATTCATTACGAAACTCAAGAATTTGAGGTGAGCAATACTGCGCTTGTCAGTTCAGTTGAATTCAACTTCAGTCCTTCGGTGTCTGATATATGCTTGATCCTTTTCAGGCTGTTGTTAGTATTTTAATTGGGATTCATTTATCATTCAGGTCATTGTTATTAATTGTCATCATGTTTATAGATATGACTTTGGATGTTTTGAGATGTATTCTGTAATCCTCTGGGGAAAGCTCAGTCATGCTGATTAGTGAGGTCTGTAAGTCTGATGAATGAGGGGCTTGTAGTTTCCACAGCTCATGGAGGTCGAGAGGCAGCTCTGCTGGAGAGAGAGCACTGCAGTACACAGTGGGACAGAAGATCCACGGCTTCACTGTTAAACAGGTAAAGAAATCACGAAAATGCCTATAATGTGTCTATTTCTCATCCCACAGTGAAGCAGTTTGAGGGTTTCTATAACCAAGATAAATTCCCTGCATTTTACAACCTCAAGTGGTTTGATTTAGTTAATACTGTAGCCTTACATTCAGAAAAAAAAATGCATTTTTTTGAACTTTTAAACACAATTTTCAAAAAAAAAGTTTGTGTATGGTTTTGTTGTTGAGTATCATATTTAATACATCAGGCTTTTATGGCTCAGTTATGATATAAGGAGAATATGGAGCTTGTTCTCAACGAGGACAAAAACACGACAATTTTATTCCGAGGCCCAAACTCGGCAGAAATATGCAGTTTGCTGCAGTTGCTTTTATTTCTTTGACCAAAAAGTAAGATGAAATTCTTATAGCTTGTCAATCTTTATAACACTCTATATCACTTAGTAAGTGTCTTAGTAAGATATTTAAATGTAAATCAGTCAAATTAAACGCCTATTGCTTGCTAAAAAAAACTAAAACAAGTATGAACTATCAATTGGACAACAGGAGGCATGTAGTAGATTGTGTACAACCGTTAGTTTTTTATTTTTTTCAAGTTTTGATCATTTAGAGGCCTTAGTATATATCAAATATGATACGGTGGGCTTTATAGGGATAATTGTGTTCCAAGCTATTACACTATAACAGTCAGACTAGGAAAAATTTAAGTCACCAGCGATAGTCCTCCTGACGTTTACAGCACTTCTGAAAATGTTTGTGTTTTTCTAGGTAACAGCAGTGCCAGATTTGTTCCTAACAGCCGTTAAGCTCTCCCATGATGCCACAGGAGCTCAGTATCTGCATGCAGCCCGAGACGATTCCAACAACCTCTTTAGGTACTGTGTATGATGGACACAAATGCTTTGAAACATCTGAGGATTTTAATTTGAAACCCATTGTATGCCCCGATGATGTACATATTGTTTTGAGTGTGTGTTCTGCATGTGTTGTTATAGTGTGCAGTTTCGTACCACGCCGATGGACAGCACTGGTGTTCCTCACATCCTGGAGCACACCGTTCTGTGTGGATCCCAGCGCTTCCCCTGTAGAGACCCCTTCTTTAAGATGCTCAATCGCTCGCTCTCCACCTTCATGAATGCCTTCACAGGTACTTCCTTCACAGGTGTTTGTGTTTAAGTGCGTGTGTGTGATTTGTATTTCTGATTGTGTCAATCTCTCTCACCAGCGAGTGATTACACGATGTACCCGTTCTCCACCCAGAATGCCAAAGACTTCCAGAACCTTCTGTCAGTTTATCTGGATGCTGTCTTCTTCCCGTGTCTCAGAGAACTCGACTTCTGGTACAGGCCATGACTCAGAAACATACTTAAATAGTGTATGTTTTCCATGGCACATAAATTGGTTTTGAAAAGGATTTGATGGGTTTTTTTTAGGCAAGAGGGCTGGAGGCTGGAGCATGAGACCCCCACAGACCCCTCGAGTCGTTTGGTGTTCAAGGGTGTGGTGTTCAATGAGATGAAAGGAGTATTTGTAAGGAAACTCTTCTGATTTAAAAATATATATATATATATATTTATTGGTGATATGCAGAGATATATGCATGATATATAAGTGACATTATACACCATTGTTCAAAAGTTTGGGGTCAGTAAAGTTTTTTTTTTAATTATTTTTTTTTTATGAAATTATATACTTTTTTTCAGAAAATAGTGCATTAAATTACTCAAAAGTTAAAGACATTTATAATCTTACAAAAGATTTCTGTTTCAAATAAACACTGTTCTTTTGAACATTCTATTCATCAAGGAATCCTGAAAAAATGTATCATGGGTTCCACAAAATATTAAGCAGCACAACTGTTCTTAACATTGATAATGTTTTAAAAAATATATATATATTTATATATATATACAGTGGGGAAAAAAAGTATTTAGTCAGCCACCAATTGTGCAAGTTCTCCCACTTAAAAAGATGAGAGAGGCCTGTAATTTTCATCATAGGTATACCTCAACTATGAGAGACAAAATGTGAAAAAAAAATCCAGAAAATCACATTGTAGGATTTTTAAAGAATTTATTTGCAAATTAGGGTGGAAAATAAGTATTTGGTCAATAACAAAATTTCATCTCAATACTTTGTTATATACCCTTTGTTGGCAATGACAGAGGTCAAACGTTTTCTGTAAGTCTTCACAAGGTTTTCACACACTGTTGCTGGTATTTTGGCCCATTCCTCCATGCAGATCTCCTCTAGAGCAGTAATGTTGTGGGGCTGTCGCTGGGCAACACGGATTTTCAACCCCCTCCAAAGATTTTCTATGGGGTTGAGATCGGGAGACGGGCTAGGCCACTCCAGGAC